ACAACAACAACAACAACAACAACAACAACAACAACAACAACAACAACAACAACAACAACAACAACAACAACAACAACAACAACAACAACAACAACAAAACAACAACAACAACAACAACAACAACAACAACAACAACAACAACAACAACAACAACAACAACAACAACAACAACAACAACAACAACAACAACAACAACAACAACAACAACAACAACAACAACAACAACAACAACAACAACAACAACAACAAAAGGCCAGGCTTGGGCAAAGGTTGTTTTTGACAGTCAGCCCCTGGTCCAATTCCCTTGAAGGGACACCAGAAGGATATTTATTGTTTAAACAAGAGGTGTTGGGCCACATTTGAACAAAGGGGTGGGCCAACCCTGCTCAAAAGGGTGGTTTCTTGAGACATGGATTGGAGCATATGGTGCAAGTCCGCATAGGGACCCAACGAAAAGGCGTTTGGAGGGCCCTGAAAACCATACGAGTTTGTAGATTGATTTCATGCCATCGCTTTGGCAACATTGAAAGTATGTGGCTGTGAGTTTCAGTAGGCAAAGCCCAGCACCAGCTGGAGCAAAGCGCACAGTGCATGGACTGCTTAGGTGGCTAATCATGGGGCCCAAGCCCTTTCTTGTCCCAGAGATCGTGTGGAGGGGAGTATATGGCTGTATTTCTGAGCGAGATGCGATACCTTGGGTTTTGAACGATTCCTGCAACTAACAAAAGTGGCAACGCTCGCAAATGTCTCCTTAGCATTTTAGCCTTTGTTGCTTTGACATCCCAAGGCGTCGCCGGGACACTTCTCTTGGTGGGCCCTTGTAATTAGTCTCGTCTGCATTGCCCGCAGTTTGAATGTTTGCAGGCGCACCCCTTCAAGCAGATGACGGTGAAGTGAAGTGTCGGCCCCGACCTCAGCTGCCAAAGTACTCCCCCCCTTTTTGCAGCCTCCACTATTTGCGTCTCCGTGCGACATGAAGGGACTCCTCCAAGAATTACGCAATACTTGCCTTGCTGTTGCCCAAGCAGCTTGAAATCTGGACGCCCTTTGAGTTTTGAACACTTTGACGGTTTAAACGTATAGCAATATGTTTTGCAATGACTGCGAGCCCATTGATCAGATGGCCATAGCCTCATTGTATTGAAGTCCCATGCTGAATTTTGCTGCCTTGGTCATGCAAATTGATTCCTCTATTATCCTCCTGGCACCCCGTAATTATGGCGGCTTTTTTTCGGTCAAACTCTCGTATTTGGCCGTATTTGCCCGTATGGCCACTTTATTCGGTCATTTGCGTACATGACCCCTATGAAACCAAACATGTGTTCAACATTTTGTTGAAACAAAGCCGCAAAAGAAAACACGTATGGCATTTTTTTCCGGTCAAAGGCGTATGCCCCCCAAAAAAAAAGAAAGAAAGAAGGATAATGGGTCCCAGGCTGTTTTTGATGAAAAGGCCGGGAAGGTGCGGACAGACGCTTCTCCTTTCGGAACACTCCCCCGTAATCTGGAGGAGAGTTGCTAGGTTCCCCAGTAGCGCCCTTTCACCCAGTTTTGGAGGACCTAGGTGGTGCTCTTGCTGGAAAGTTCGGGAAAGAGAGCCGATGGTATTCCCCAATAGCGTCCGGCTGTGCGGTTCAATACTGGTCAATGACCCGGAAATGTCCGCACGCTTGACTTTCGGTGGTGTTCCGGTGGTGTCCTGGTGGTGTTGTCGTAGTGCCCGGTGCTTTGAGGGTGGCACAGTCCCAGTGCTCTGGTCTTGTGGTCCTGCGTGGTCTGATGCTGTTTGCATGGTGTGCGGGTGTGATGGCTTTTGTGTGGTGCAACATTAGAGCAGCTTTGCTCTGTTCCAAGGCGAGGCACTGCCACTTCGGAGTGATATCCTGGGGGTTGATCAATATTCCGTTCGGTCCCCAAACGACCATGGGCAACTTTTCCAATCGTCTTTTTAGTGGCTCTCCAACCAATGGTCATCCCATGTAAAGGACCTTTTGATCAACCCCCATGTTTTAACTGGCCCGCTGTTCGGTCGGAGCCCTCTCACAGCAGGTTTTAACTTTCGGTCGGAGCCCCCTCACAGATTGACAGGGCGGGTGGCAGGTGTTCAGGGAGTGTGAGGTCTGGCTGCACCCAAAAACACATTATGCCATTGAGAAGATGTGGCTGTGGGTCAAAACCAATAGGATCCCATTTTGGGTAGGTGCACCACCCATTTTAGTCCATTTTTGTGGGGATTCGGATGTTCACTGCGGGTGCGGGCTTTTGACCCATGGCCATGTTCTTTTGGGAGTCAGCGACAGCCCGGAGAATGTTGTGGACTGGAAGCTGACTGTGAGAACTATGCTGTGTTCCTTGCGGCCAATGCAAGTGCTGCAAAGATCGTTATTCACAGTCTCACTGTGTATGCCCCAAGAGTTGCAAGTCAACCAACCACGGAACCATCCTAATTTACGGCAAATTGGAGGGTGTCCTTGCTGCTGTACTTGCCAATTTTTAGGGCGTCCACCGTACCTACCGTGAGCGTGCTCTTGTTTCGCAGACACCATTTATCTATGAGACAGCAAATCCAATGCATGTCAAAGCAGCTTCAACAAGAATCATGTTCATTTAGAAACACCATACACGTTGTTTTAGGCGTTTATTTTTCCCCCCCCCCCGTTTTTTGTTGCTTGTTTTTTTTTCACAATCATGACAAGAATCTCAACTTCATTCACCAAGTGAGTTTGATGAGTTGGAACAAAATCCTTGAAGCCAGGGTTCAAAAAGCCGAGCACAGGGCTGTCTTTCAAACTTTAGGCATCTGGACATTGCGCCTGGTCGGGCCGAAATATACCACATGACATATGCTTGGCCTGGGATGTACATACATTACTTCTTGCATTTACATTTACGTTTACGGCAACATTCCATTGCCTTTGACACATGTATATCGCTCGGTTCTTGCTGAGACTTTCTCCTACGCCTGCCTTGTGGCCAGCACTTGACTTAAAGCGCTCCAAGGGAGTGGTTGCAACTGCTTGCTGGAAGCTCCTTACACTCCTGGAGTTTTGGCCATTAGGTCACGGCCAGAAAGGCCACATACAGAATGCCCGAGCGGCTTGCACGCTGGGCTTGGACAAGCGGAAGCAGGTAAAACCAGAGCACGCGTGTTTTCCTCCCAAGTCCAAGGTCTGTTTTTTACTAATGAGGTTCCCAAGAATGACTCAGCTTTGCTTTCCGTGAATTGCAATCTCCGGCTATCTTGCGTTCCTGCAACAACAGCGCGTGCCAAAAATGCTCTGAGTGGCTGCGCAGAAATGGACACGGAAAAAGCGGCATGTCCTTACGGCATGTCCTCCCAATTTGGCTTGCCCCAAAGCCGCGGGGCTGCCTCCCCTCAGGCAGATACACGGCGGTTGCCCTCCAATGCGCTCGGATTTCGCGAAGGGCCATCCGCATCAGCCGAGTTTCCGTGTTTCAGCCTAGAGGCCACCAGTGTTGAAGGTCTGCAACACTCTCCAGCTGAGTTTCCTGTCGACTTCCAGGTCTCGAGAGATGATTTGTAGGTAGACCGCCTTGATTTGGTTGGCACAAACCCGGAAAGGCAGTTGGAGTTGGTCTGCCCTCCCATGGTTCCGAGAGACTCCAGTGAGATGGCTTTGTTCTTCGCAGCTTCAATCAGAACCATGGGGAAAGGCACTTCGGAGGCTTTGCTGCATAACTCTTGCTCTAGCTTCATGTGCTTCGGGTCTATGAGCGTTTGCCAGCGACCACGTGCGCGTGGGCAGAACGGGGATACTTTGCCAAGTGGTCGAGAATTGCCACACCAGGGACGTAAAGGTATCCCTTGTTGGGATCGTTGCAACAGACGTTGGGATCGGACACATTTTTGGTTGCGGGGGGGGTTCCCCAACTACTGCTGTAAGAGTCGGGATCTTCCCAGCTTGCACTTTTTGCAGTCGAAATATCGGCACAATGCTCGCACGTGCTCCAAGTTTCTAAAAGTCGGTCCAAGCGAATCAAAGTTGCATTGGTTTGGGTGTGTTGAATTCGGGAACCAATGGCGTGATTTGCAAGTCAACCTGGAAAAGCCGGGTGTGTTGAACAATGGGATTTGGGTGTGTTGATTTGCATTGCTTGATTTCGGTGTGATTCAACATGGATTTCGCTTTCCCTTTGCTTTCCCACAGCCAATTCGAAAAATATTGGGCCCTACAACAAGCGCACAGTTGAATCAACCGCTTCAACCAGGGGCGGATCGGAATGAAGATGTGTTCCGGATGGGAAAGGGAAGTGGTTGCGGATGGCCCTGTCGCTTCTATACGTAAACCAACCACAAACCATGGTGGCATATACGTTGGTGTTCCCTTTGTTCAACTACAAACCATGGTTGAATTTGCGTTGGGTTTCCCTCGTTCCCTTGCTTTTCCTGTTGCTTTGTTTGTAGAACATTGGACAGGAGACCCTCAGATTCCATCGGAACCAGTTCACCTCAAGCGGCAGTTCATCGGAACCAGTCAATTGCGCAGCGCAAGGGACACTTCAGTGACCCATGTTGGATAGATAGAAAAATTGGAAAGATAGATGGCTAGATCAGGGGCTTTAAGATAGGTCGCAGGGAAGATTCTGTGGATGGACGAAATCCATTTCGCACCACCCAAGAATCCCTGGAATGACTCAATTCCCCTGCAAATACTCCAATGGATTCAAAGTGGTGCGAAGCGGATTTCGCGACCAGCCGCTGGTCGCTGGGTAGATCGGTTTGATACTTGGAATGATTCGATTCCCCTTGTAAATACCGACAAATCATGGTTTGGTGTGGTTCAACTTGGTGCGCAATGGATTTGTCCATCCACAGTAGATAAGACAGACAGACAGACAGACAGACAGACAGACAGGTCGGTAGACAGGTAGGTAGGTAGGTAGGTAGGTAGGTAGACAGATAGATAGATAGATAGATAGTAGATAGACAGACAGATAGATCGATCCCCTGCTTCCCAAGTGTTCCCCCTTTCCCTGAGGCTTTGCAAGCACTGGTCACGCAGCTGCCCCGGGGCGCTGGGGGGCTCAGCCCAGTTGAAAAAGGTCAATGCCACGTTGGTCAAGGGAAAGCAAAAGAAGGGTGCGGCTCAAAATTAAACGATCGGAGGGGCAAACCGCAGGTTTTGGTCCATGTTTCCACTTACCCGGGCAACCCATTTTGGAATTCTGGTTTTTTGAGCCACAGCCATAAATCCACACACGAGCCACAATGAAACCCCGGGGAAATGAAGGTGAGTGAGGGACGATCCCATGAATCGCTGCGGATATCCGCCTTAGTTCTTTACACGGTGGGTCGACCGTTTTTGTACCGGGTTTTGAGCAAGTGACTCGCATGTAAAAAAGGCCCTTTTTGGAAATGACAAATGAAGTGGCCACCGCTTCTTGGTAGCTTGCTGCTGAGTGAGGCGTGGGCGTGGGAGTGTTGTTCCCGTGACAGTCTGGCCACTCAAGAAGCAGCCTTCGACCAATTTGCTGAACATCGGGGAATAGCCGAATATCTCAGCCTGCGTGGATTTTGTTCGTTGGTTCCGCGTGTATGGCTGGTTTTGAAGTGAGTTCAAAGAAAGGGACTCACAAGTCGTTTAGGTTCCCTTGTATATTTGGAGGTATACGCATGTATATGTACATGTGTGTGCTTTTCCGTCGAATTTTCAGGCAGGGCAGGGAATATTTGTTTCTTGAATCCTTCTCAGATATCTATGGCACGCGATGCATTTTAGGTTGCGAGCTGAGGCAACGCTTAGCCCGCGTCTCGTTGGAAAAGGGAGGAATTGCGGACTTGTTTGACGGCTTGATGTGTTCGTCTTGTGTCATGGCATGGCACCACGCGATTGAGTCCTTGTAACTGGCGCGGCACCTTCATTGAATCTTCGGATTGGCGAATGCAGTTCCCTTTGAACAAAGAGAACGTCATTTTCGGTAGCTATCAAACAGAGTGTCAAACATTTGCACTTATATAGGACGAGCATTTTCGCAAGCCATCAAACAGTGTCAACCATTATACAGGAGGTTGGGTGTCTCTGCGCTGTGCACAAGCATCCGATTTGCGGCGGCTATCTTAGCTCCCAGGAAGATGAGGAGATGCTGAGCCAGGCTGGACCAAACAGCTCCAAGCCGCTGAGCAGCGAACCTCCCAGGCACTAATGCTGCAAGCGCAGGCGACATCCAAGGTGGTGCCCAGAGAAGTGGCTGGAAGAGTCCATGCTAGCAGAGAAAATGCGGATTTTGTAGGTTTTGTATCATGTGTTCTGTCATATGTTGATTTGAGGATTTGCCAAATGTGTTTGTCATTTGCTCTTATGTGTCAATTCAGGCGTGTCATTCAGCATCGTTCAGTCAGCCAGCCGGAAGGCCTGCAGGCATTCGGGCAGGTGGGCAGGCAATGAGGCAAGTTTGCATCTACGCCTTTCCGTCAGAAAGCAGCTTGCTGACTGTAGACACGTCCCTGGGGAACACCATCAGTGTCTGCAGCCTCATTGATGAGCATCGAATCGGCCTTGGGAATGCTGGTTCAGATTTGAGTTTCTTCATGTCATTTTTTTTGCAGAGGTTGCTGTCCACGTAGACTTTTATTTGGAGTCTGGAGCATTGGTTGTGCCCTCCAAGCAGGGCAGCGCAACGCAACGCCATGTGGGCACCAGTGGTGTTTCCAAAAGCTTTTCGATGTTTGATTCCCAGCAGCAAACTACATTGCACAACTGGTTGGAATTCGGGCTAGCAGTTGTTCACGTTTGGTAGCCGTCAAAATGACGTTTGGCACCCCGTGTTCAGTGGTCAGCGCACACAGCAAGCGCAAATAGTTAACTGACAGTCCGGCTTTTTCTGTGCTTTGTGGCTGTTAGACAAGTCGCTGAATTGATTGAAGTTGAACTCACGTTTCCGTGCAACTGCGCTGTGGACGCACACGTTCCGATTCCAGCCTTAGCAGAGAACGCATGCCAGCATCTAATTCTGCGAACTTGCACGGTTGAGACACACGCACAGACAAATTGGTGACGGCGATCGAGCAAACCAAGGGCCTTTCCGTGCGTGTTCAGCACGGGCCCCTGTCCTCGTCATCGGCTTGTCCGACTTTCCGCAGGCCATAGAGCCGGAGACGAAGCGCCGAGCCTGCAACGACGAAGTGGAGGAGTCAAAGAGACTCGTCCAGCAGTGGATCTTTGGTCCAGAGTTGCAATAATCCCTTGGACCAGCCCGAAGCTGAGGGTCATGAATGAATTCCTCATAGTTCTCCGGCCGTTTTTTGCGGGCAACTCAAAAGTCAAGGCGTTCTGCGTCAAAGATTGTCTTGAAGTGGGCGTCAACACATTTGCCGTGATTGACTGGCTTGATTTTCCTACAAGAGGCCTCTGTGTTTGCGTTGTCCTGGCATCTCCACGCCCTCCGTAAAAGAGGCGGGTCCCAACCGATGGTCAACGGTCGTGGCTTTGCAGAACAACTTGCTGGTGCGATAGGTGGGGAATGACCCAGGTTGTTGGGAATGAACCTGGGGATTCCCTTAAAGGAAGCCACCAGTTGGATGGTTTACAGGGGGCATTCCAACTCATTCCCTGCCGATGGAGCCAGCAAGACAACGGCTGTTCCCTTTGGACCGAGGCGCCTGCAGTCGCTGTCAGCACAGGGATCCCGGCAGGCTTCGCAGGCGCGGATGCCTTCATCAGTTCCAAGACGCGGGTGATCGCTTTCTGTGGGGTTGTCTCAAAATAGGGCAACCTAACAAGCAGGTTGGTCTCCTTTGGTTTCATTTGAAAACCATGAAAAAAGGGGGGTACCCTCCAAAAAACGAGATACTCATGAGCTGGCAAGCTCAATACGTCCCTTTTCCTTTGCGTTTGAGTCAAATTCGAGATCTCGTGCTGCAACGCTTTGCCAAATCAATAGGCCTTTTTGACCGCAATGTTTAACTTGTGAGCCAACCGAACTCAGCATGAACCCGGGCTGCTTTTGCCCTGCGCGTGTCGGTGGCTGGGGGCAGAAGTTTTGCTTTCTGGGACTTGGCTTGCGAGGAGAAATGCGCCCGCGGATCTCGGAAGGCCTTGAAGGAGAAGCATTCTTACCCTTCTGAAAACCTCCACTAGGTCCCCCAGTAGTGCCCTTTTACTTCTTTTTGTTGGGGTGTGTTCCCCTACTAAAATAGACTACAGAAAATGGGTACCCTTATTTTAACCTCTCTAGAGGACCTAGTCTAAGAAGGTTCTGAGAACCGTCCCCGCATGGGGAGCCCGAGTTGTTTTTCTCCTCAACCCGAACTTCCGAGGTGCTGATGCGGGAGATGCGGGCGTTGCATGCGTTGCAGGGTGACGGCGGAGCTTGCGATCGCGCGCTGGAGGTCGAGATGGTGCAGGTGCCACTCATGGCTTCGGGTGCCCGAATGGAAATATGGGTATGTTTTTGTTTCGGAATGGACCCCCCAAAATGGCATTGGTTTCCTCTTGGCTTCCCTTTAAACACCATAAAACGGGGTACCAACTCCAAAAAGAGGCGCAACCATATCACCCTTGCGCATGACAAAGCAATGGGTGCAGGCATCTTGCGTGCCTATGTGCTTGGGAATTTTGCGAGCAAGTCTATGCGAAAAGGTACAACCAAGCTGGCTCGCTTTGCGAGGCAAATATCCGACGTTAGATCGACCTTCTGGAGAGGATGCGAGTGTTTTTTCGAGTAGAACAAAAAGTGGCTCATTGCCAGCCCTCGCATTACGTTTCCATTGCTTACCCTCGCTCGGTTCCTCCAGGATTCGCTGTACCACTGGACGGTGAAGATGCATGCTGCCGGCTTTCCGGACTGCAGCCTCCGGCAGGAGTTGGGGCTGCTTGGTCTGAGATCGCCAGCTCTTGGCACGCAGCTTTTGGCACGGGTTTTAGTCCATGTGTCCATTTACCAGGGTTCTATATTGGGTGCCTATTTTTGACCCACACTCATATTTCGTAAACCTCGTTGTGGTTTGGCGCAAGTTTGGGCTGGGGGACAATTCGCCATGCGATCAAGAGGTCCTTTACATGGGGTGACCATCGGGGAACCCACCAAAAAAGATTGCTTTCAGCGCTAAATGGGAGCAATTACCCATGGTCATGATAAGGCCAGGAATATGGATCAACCCCCATTTCGCTGTTGCTGTTTCAACACCCCGAAAACGAGGTAGCACCATGAGATGCAGGTGGTTGAGATCACACACGCATGTGCCATATTGCGAAAGAGGAGTCAGTGTCCGCATGCTTGAGGATGTTCATCGATGAAAAAGGGTCGCCCTGTTGATATGATTGCCAGCGAATGTTGCGCGGTAAATGCACCGCCTAATCAGCACCATGACTCAATGTTTGGCAGTAACCCAAATCATAAACACGTCAAGTCCTGGGCAAGGGTGCATCTACATTCTCTCCGTGTTGACATTTCAAGGGAGGCGGTAGAGATCGCTGTCGAGGGTTGACTTGTTTTGGTCTCGGATTGTAGCAAATAGCAGTGGTGGAGGAGGTGCTGGGGAAGCTGTGGGCTGAAGATTCTTTACTTCGCGTTAGATTGGAGACTGTAAACATTCGCTTGGATGTCAAAAACAGCAAGGACTTGCGACAATTCAAGAACGTCGCCTTTGATTGCTGCTGCTGTTGCAGAATCTTTGCCAGCGCATGTACTGCCGCGATTTCTGGCTTGTTCTGTATTGCATTTGCCTCTCTCAGCTATTGATTCTGCAGAACAGAGAACGCGCGTGCTACAAAGTAATCTTCGGATGCGTTGACCGACATTGGGATGAGTCTTGGCGTCGATGCGCTAGTGGATGTTTTTGTCCCGCGCGACTGGCCATCTCAGAAATGATAGCCTCCTTCTTTTTCCGGGAAAGTTGGGATGTGTTGGGAGGGGGTATTGTTGCTAGTAGGAGGGGGTATAGCTCAAATTGCCGCACGGAGAAATGAGATTGCCCAGTTTGAGACAAGTGCTCTTGAGTTTCATTTTCAGACTTGCTGACAATCTGGGCAAGTTTGCTCTCGCAACCTCACAAAGGAGCTTTTGCCATCTCATGACGACTGCTGTTCCTTTCTTGGGGCATCCTTGTTTCAGGTTGGTGAATCATTCCGACTCAGCAATGCTGAGAGTTCGACGCTAGCTCAACACGTCTTGGAGCAGCAGACATGCCAGACGCTTGCCAAGGAAGTATGCAGCGCAGCACCCGACTGGCCAAGCTGCCGTGGTGCTGGAAGTGCTTTTTCCAGTGTGGCGGCCCGGAAAGTCGCGGTGTTGATCCCAAGCAATGTATGGAAGCATCCAGTTTCGCTTTGTAGGTGTAAGGGCCTAATAGTATGAGGGACATCATCTTTGTGGAAGGCGAGCTGTGAGTACCGTGAAGAACAACTTCAGATCGATCCTGTGAACATCGAGATGGGTCTCCGGCCAATCAAAGCTGAGTCATGTTTCCCTTGAGTTGCTTTAAGTAAAATACAGTATCAGTTTATTGGTCATGATGTGTTGGTGATGCTGTGTACACTGTGCCCAGCAGCAAGACCAGAACCCTCTAACATTCTACTTGATGCTCAGCCGCTGTTGCCGCCAACGATTTGCGGTGTAGCTTGCTCCGCGCTAAGGACAGCTTTCCCATGGAACCGCCCTTCATTCGGATAGTCCGGCCACGGTTCCAAATGCACACAGGACCACGGTTGGATGCCAAGCGTTGATACCTTTGCATTCATGTTCTTTTCCACCAGCACGCGCTTTATTGGCTTGTTGTTTGTTTTTACAGAAAGGTATGAGCCAACATCTCCTAATTTTACGGAGGAAGAGCATGCAATCACCCACTGGCTAGAAGCCTCTTGACTTCTCAGACATTGACTTTGCGCCGCCAGCTTGGCGAATGACCCCTATTGCGCAGATCATCGCCTGGTTGATCTATAGGGGAATGTCAGCTTGCGGTGGGGATTCATCACTTTTGGAGGGAACACCCCCCTATTAATGGCACAGGTTCTACTTAGATCCCGGGTCAACATTAAAACTAGTGTGCAGATCATTGCAGGTGAGTTGTCACTTGGCCGTGTGAGGCAAAGCCGCGTAGGCAGTGAATTTTGGCCCTGGTTGCCCGCAGTATAGCCTAAGGGTTGTGCTTGGTATGCGGAATCCGGCAGCCCCCGTACCACACCCCCAGTTGCTTTCGGTCTCAAAACCAGTGATTTTGGGGCCCCAATCCATGACCAGTAGGGCAGCCGTGCGGCCCGAAAGACGACGAAGCAGTCGGTTTAAAGAAAAAAGCAACAGGGCCTTGCCATGCGGCACAGCCCATCCCATTAGTTGAAATCACTCATTTGAATAAGGGGCCCTTTGGTGGACATCATTTAGGTGGGTGATAATTCATGTCCGCCAACCACTTTTGAGGTGGTCCCCTATTAACACTCATAGTCATATTACGGATGGACGATATCCGGCACCACCTAAGAAACCCTGAGATGGAATGACGATTCCCCTGTAAATGCCAACAAACAATGGTTCTCATGGTTTCTTAGGTGGTGCAGGATTTCGTCCATCCACAGTGTCATTGTCTTCCAGGACACATCACGGTGGGCGGCAGCATTTGCATGCAGCTGCTGACCACTTCTGGCTGGCTGCCCACCGTGTCACTGGAGAATGTCTTTGTGGCCATTCGAAGTGAGAATCTTCGTTGCAGCGTGCTCGATTTGGGGTTGCTCAAAATAGGGATCTCCTAAAACAAGGGGTTGGTTGGTATTTGGAGGGAAGCTAAAGGACAACAACTATTTCACCTAGGCTTCCTTTGGTTTTCCTTCAAACACCAAACACAAATGGGAGTTTCTCAAAATGGACCCCTTTCGGCTGGTATTTGAAGGGAAACTAAAGGAACACAACCATGAGGCTAGCCGAAACTGGCTGCTTTTCCTTTGGTTTCCCTTTTGCAACCAAGAGGGGTCCGATATTTTGAGAACTTCTTGAGGGTACCCTTTTTGGGCTTGGTTTAAACGGAAGCCGAAAGGAAACTGCTGAGGTCCGCCCTGGTTTGACACATATCCATCTGTCAGTTCCGATGTTTGGCATGGCGGCACTGTGTTTGCCTGGCCTTTCTGACTGCGCCTGCTCATGGTTGTTGTTGGGAAACATTTTACATTTTTGCTTATTGTGGTTTAGTGGGAAATCCCCACTTAACCGCTAAAACATATTTTGTTGCTCCCCTTCCAACGTCAGCCAAGTGCTTATGTCTCTGTGCACAGGGGGTAAGCGACAAAAAGTATTCGCTTGATGCGTCGCACGAGCGTATTCACACCTGCAAAAAGCACCGACGCTCGATCAGTCAACCGCGCCGTTGGACATGTGGACGGAGAGCGTGAGCATGCAACCACGCAAGTTGTCTACCAGCTCATGTGGTGAAACAAGTCAACGCCAGATGCCACACTAACCCAGGCTAGACTGTTCAAGAAAGAGATGCAAAAAAAAGTGGGTATGGGTCAATATGAAACCAGCAGGGGACCGCGGGTTTTAGTTCCTATTACAAGGGTTCAATTATGGGTACCAATTTTCACCCACCAGTGCAGGAACGCACACTCATAGGGACCGGAGTGACCAGCGCCGGCAATGGAACACCGCCGTTCGCTGCCCAAATGCGTTTTGCAGTCGCACGGAATCGCAGGCTTGAGAAAGCCACAGACAGATCTGGGTACGGAGCCTAAGCCCGTTGCACGTTGCACGCACCAGGGGTTCAGGAACGCGAGTGAGCGAGACAAGTCTCGCGCAAGAAGCGCGAGAATCTGAATCCGATCCTCAGAACTTGAGGTGAAGCTGCAGAAATTCGCGGAATTTTCACTGGACACCGGACAGAGCTGAGCTGAGTGTATGGCCAAAGAGCTGGTAAGCTTTCTGACATGTGCAAGCTGGGCAGTGCCGAACAAGATGTTATCCAAACCCCAACTCTTCACTGGGCAGGGAGAAAGCGGCCAATTGTTGAAAGTGGCGTTTGCGACTTGCGCCGAGGATGGTGGAAGGTGGAGGGCGACTTGACTTCAGCTCGTGTCGCGACTACAGCGTGCAAGAGGCAAGCAGCTTGCCTTCAGTCAGATGTTGCGCAAGTGTTGCTCAATTGTTTCATGGTCATGGACCTAATTTTTAAGGGTCATGGAGACTCCAGGTAAACACAAGTTTCGGAGCTTCTTTCGGCTGCACGCTTGACTACGCGAATTCCAGACGCAGATCTCAAACTCAAAAGCGCATCTTTTTGCCCTCCCCGTGGCCGTGAGAGCCTCTTCAGCGTGTGACTGGGCCATTTGGTTGTGGCTCACTTTAACTCCCCCCCAGATTGGCAACGTTTTCCTTTGGGCTTCCCTTTAAAACCCAGATTGTTGGCGTGACCAAGCCATTTGGTGGCTTTGTTTGGGGGTTGTCCTTTTGGCTTCCCTTTAAACCCACCAAAGGCGTACCAACTCCAAAAATGACGCACCCATTTCAAAATCTCGAGTGTTTCAGCCGCAAAGGAGAAGCTTTTCAGCGCGTGGCTCGACGCTATGGCTGGAACTGAGCAGAAACGTACATACATGTATGTATATATATCTATATTCGAGGAAACCCTGATTTTAGTGAAACACACTGGACATTTACAATATTGTATGATTTTTGGATAAAATAGGTTTTGGGGGAGGTTACTATATATGTTTTGCGCTGTATTATTATTATTATTAATTGATAATAATAGATTATATTATTAATTATTATTAATATATTGAAGGTTGATCTCGAAAAACACAATGTGGAATATGAATTAATTTAAAGATTATAATATATATTAAAATATTGAAATTATATTAATTTTAATATGAATTATATAAATTTAAATATTTTTTTTATAATTTATAATATATATTTTATTTATTAATATTATTATTAATATAATAATAATATATTATTATTTTCTGCGATTTATATAATTTATTTATTTGTATAATTTTATATATAATATTTATTATAGAATATATATATTTTAAAAATAAATTATATTTTATATTATTTATTCGAATAATATTTTTTATTTTAATATATTAAATTATTAATAAATTCTGGAGATAGGTAATTTAGCCTAAATTTTTAGATATTCGAAGATATTAATATTAAAATAGAGTTGGAAGATAAAATCTCGTTTGTCTTATAACCTAGAGCTATTTACGAAGATTGTATTTAAACACATAAATAAGGTTGAGATTTTCGATTTAGTTATTTAAGGAATGATAATTTTGGTTAATACAAATTAGGATAAATAAATATAAAGAATATTATTATATATTAGAAATCATCGAAACACTTATCGAGAATAATAGATAAAAATAAGATAACCAATTTATTATGTTTGGAACACCTTTAAAATCACCTATATATACGGTTAAACGTTGTTTTTCGATACTTTTTATTGATGATTTCTCTGTAATTTAAATGACACTCGGATTTTAAATTGGATTTATTTAATTTTTAGATATAGAATGCTTTTTTATATACTATACGAATAAGGAATTAAAGGAATCATTTTCCAAATTAGAGATTTATAACCAATGTTTTGAATTATATATCGATTCCGCAAATTCATGCCTAATATACGAGATTGGAAAGGAGATATAATCGTTATATAGGGCCAAATTGAATTATTTGTGGGGTTCCCATCACTAGAATTTCCATAAGTGTTATAGAATTAGTGGGTAACAAATTCATAGGTTTTAACGAGGGTCGTATGCTAATTTGCAAGGCTAAAGCAAACACTATGTTCTTCAAAATGGTGTGCATGGCCTGCTTGTGTTTATGTCCCGTGTAATGGAAAATATGGTGTTCGAAAGAATCCAAATTTTGGTGGCAAAAAGAACTTGTCTCGTCCTATTCAAAATATGGAAAATTGAGCCATATAGAAATAATATCTCGAAATATAGCGTTGGTGAGTAACACATCCTAAGCTAGAACGGGGCGTGCCCGAAATTAACCATCTACTCTTGAGACAACAAAAGTGCGCAACCATACTTGTCCCACTATATCCATTTGCTCCATCAAAAAATAAATCACCTTAGAGTGAATAATTGCCAACAAGGTAATTTATTATATCTCCATTCTCGGATCCTAAAGACCAGGGGCATCACGAGGCAAGAAACGCATAACATGCTGTAAGGCCTATGTTTCCTACCCAATATCAATTTAGATAGGAAAAATGAGATAAAAATCCAAACTGGTTTACAAGCACTTGCGCTTTAATGCCACGTAAGCAAGATCCACTAAATAAACATTCTCTAAGCTAATTTCGACTCACGGACTAAAATCATCATATTAGATTTAAATATCATTTTAACACAAATTTATTTCTAAAAATCATTAAATCTAATTTTGTTAAAATTTAATATTCGAATATATTATTTATATTATAAAAATATAAAAAAAACCATTCTTTTAAAAAAACAATATCCCTAAAAAACAATAAAACCATTAAAAACCAATAAACATTTCTCAATAAATAGCCATAAATAATTTTAATAATACCTTATACATTATATAAAAATATAATTAATCTTATAATTTAAATTTCCTTCCAAATCTATATATATTTTAAGATTTAATAAATTATATAAACATAAATATAAATAAAATTAAAACAAAATAATCATTTCATCAATATAATAATATGTGGTTTTTCTCCGAATTTTCATTAAAAAATCGAATATATTTCCCTATGTTTTCTTAAATTCTATAAACAATTAAAACCATCAATAAATATAATTGGTTCCCATATTTTCTTTTCATATTTTTTTCGAATTTCAAGTATATTCAAAATTAAAAAACAAAATATTTAAATAAACCAATAATAAAATATAAATAAAACATATAATTTTCATAATTTATAATTTCAACACCATCCGAATTTTAATTTCAAATTTTAAACCATACCCATTTAAGATTATTTCGATAAATAAAAATACAATTATATAATTAATATTCAATATATATAAATTACATTTAAAAAATCATTAAATTATAATTTCAATTATAAATAAAAACAAAAAAAAATGTTATTCATTCATTTTAATTTTTAATCAAATATAATATTAAATATCAAAAATAAATATCAATAATAAATAATATAAAACAAACATATTTTCAAATAATAATCAAACAATATCAAATTTAATTCCCCTAAATTTCATTCAGCCCAATACTCCTATAGAAATCATATTTTATTCATAAATAAATAAATTAAACAAACAACAATTTAATCAATATGTCATTTTTGTAAATATAATCATTATTATATCATTCAACATCAATATTTGCAAAAAGGGCCATATTCATTCGACTTTGATTAGTCCCCTATCGTTCTCCAATCAGTGCAAAACTTGCTAAATCCCGCTATGATGCAATGTCAAAATATCCGTTATTAAGCACTAATTTGGACGTACGATATGTAAATCCCATTATGATGCAATAGTCAAGATGTCCGGTTTAAAGCGCTAATTTAAAATACGTACGATGTGTAAATTTCATTGCGACGGACGTAGGACGTGCAAATCCCACTGTGAGAGGACCGGAAGCAGCAAATTCCCATGGGACGCCGCCTGACATGCAAGTATAATTTCTTTCCAACAGTATAATTTCCAGCATGTCATGTTTTGAGTTTCGAACGTTGCTTCAAATCCCATAAGCACAATCCATGGGACGCGCTACACGGGAAGTGCTTCTCACAGCTGCCACGCTCCCTGAACACAGGATCCTTACATTATACACCTAAACATTGCCTTGAAAATGATGGCTTCCCTTTGTTCACGTGACGCAAACCAGCAAAATTAACGAGGTCAAAACGAAGGCTTTTCGAGGTCTAAACGAGGCCCGAACGACTGCCAAAAACTGGGGACACAATCCTTACTGGCACAAAGTTGAGCAAGGCAGTCTCTTGGCCTGAGGCAGCGTCCCATTGTGTATGACGGGAACAGCGCCTTCTAGAGTTGGGTGTAACGCCGCGCTCAACACCGGCACTCTCCAAGAACACTGCCTCCAGTCCTCTTGCAAAGTTTGCTCAAATCCCAATGGTATGACAACAAAGAAGTCTGCTCACACAAAATCTTGCCGCATGGAATTCGAGTTCAACGGGAAATATATATATATATATATATATATATCTATGTATCTATATATATATATATATGCAAACCCCCACCAGGACGCAAGCAGCACCGACTTCCTGAATCAGTACCCTGCATGGCACACGAAGTTGGACACAAACGCACCGACTTTCACCGGAGAGTGTGAAGTGCCCGATAAACCCTCTGCACAGATCCTGTGCCCAAGCCTAAAAGGCCAGCGGGTCGACCACATTCACACAGTAGGCAACCGAATCACACCGAAAACAAGAAGTTTTGGCTCAACTCGACTCCGAAATCAAAGGAATTCATAACAAACTCGAGATAATAATGTTATATTAGTGCTAAAGAATTAAAAGGTGCAACACGTGTTGCTTGAGTCTTTTGCTCGCCCGCCCAGGAAGGCGAAAGCTCAAAGTTCTTCTAAAATATTTCCAGCCAGCGCATTTTCACGCACCTAGGATGGCAAAAAGCACACACACACACAACCCTCTGTCAGCTTTGCAACACATTGATTGCTCCGGCCTCGCCAACGCGGGCTCGAGGATTGCTTGCCTGAGGTCATTAGTCTGAATGAAGGTGTGACTGATTGACGACCATCTGCTCTTCCCGCCCGCAGTCACCTTCAATCCGTGTGCCTTCCTCTTGTTTTAGGTTGACCAAGGCATGCCTTATTCCTGCAGCATCTTCATTCCCCCTTTCCGGCAAAGACAACCCTGTATGACGCAGCAGTTGAAAGCTCAAAGGGTACTCTAAAGCCAAAGCTAAGACCAGCGCCGCAATCTTGGCAAGCAGCTGGCTGTGCTCATCAGGCACGCTGGCCTGCTCCTGGCGACAGAGCCCCCTCAAGTCTAGGTCAACCATGGCACCTCTTTCCTTTTACCCCTAAATTATATTTGGACACCCCAGTCGGAGCAAACACAAGAAACGGAGGGCCACCTTTTTGAGAATTTCTGGAGCCGTGACAGCTGGAAAGTGCAACATCGCCTGGTGCACTTGCAACAGCTCCGCTTGCGACCTCGGTCGCGAGTAATCTCCCGACTTGGTTTTGCGGTTTTCCAAGGGACACCAGAGGGAAAACCACCATTTTGGGGGTGGTACCTTAAACAAGACAACAGCCAAATCTGATCCTTGAGGTCGGTGCATCTCTGCTGCAGCTGGCATCTTTGCTTGACCTGGCATCAAGCTTCAATCCGGCACAGAGACCGATCTCCACTTGACGCATGACACGTGCTGTCACGGCCCGGTGATACCAGCAACAGCCTGCCAGAAAAAAGAGGTAGTGCCCGATGTTGAACGGAAGCGGCACTACGGGTCTATCAAGACGCTGGAAGACTGCATCACTAGGGACCAACCTATACAGGCATGCTCAACAAGTATGCATGTATGCATGCTGGGGTCTTGCCCAAATGCATTCAAAGCATTTCAAAGCCACTCTTTAGGAGGCAGCAGTAGAAAGCCTAGAATACTGATATCACTGATATCTGCAGCTGTTGTTTTACGATGTCTTTCTTAGCGGAACTCCAGTTAGTTCCCAACGTCCAAATCAAACGGAACATTGCAAGTGCGACTGCGAACGTTTCACTCAACGCAGCTGAAGGTAATGCCTCCATTTGTCCATCTGCAGAAACCATCAAAAGCTCGACACACGCCGTGCTTGCAGCTCCTCACTTGCAGTGCTCGCTCTTGAGCTGTCCAGGTTTCAGGATGCCGGCCGATTCGGATGTGGGCGCAAATTCCGAAACGCTGGTTGGGAGCCCAGAGGCTTCATAGCACTTATTTCCGATCGAGTGGATTGGTCACAAACAAATCAAACTTTTTCTTTATCACCAAAATGGTTCAAACCTTAAAAGTTTAATGGTCCAAACCCAAAAAGTGACTAAAGTCCGAAACTGAACTCAGGAAGTGAGACCAAGTGCCCCAAACAAACCCGCGAGCATGCGAGGTAAGCCCGCCTTCGTTGAAGTCGCGCACGAGGTCCATGAAGTTTGTCGGCTCCGCGGGCGCCGATTGAGGCGCCTTGCAATGCGATCAGGGAGGCGAGCGGGTCGACGCAGCAAAGCAGAATTGGCAGAAAGAAGCAGAAGAATTGGCAAAACAAATCAGCTCTTCTTTTGTTTTGTCTCAAAATCTGGATGCCAACTCTCCAAAAACCCAAGCCTCGACATCAAGGAACATTGAAGAATGGGGATGGCTTTTCAGTGGGGACCCCTTTGTGGACATGATTAAGGTGGGGATTCAGGTCCACTAACCACTTTGGGAGGTGGTTCTGCTTTTGAGATTCATAGCTTCAAAGGGATCTCATGCAGATCTTCTAAGGTGGCTGTCCTTCACCTGGGGAGAAAGCCGCACAGTCTGAGCACAAGGCAGTCTTTGCCGCGAGAGGGGACGCTTTGCCCTCGGAGCACCAGCTTGTGATTCCGTACTCATTTTGGCATTGCGTTTGTAGAGGGTACATGGGACACCACCCCCTAAGCCCTCAAACCAAACCACCAATTTTGGGGGATGCTGAGTATTGGATGTTGATGACAGGTCCTTTGCCTTCGATCCCACAGTTCTCAGGGCAATCAGGAATTGCGCCCCTCAGAGAAGGCCCTCAAGAGACTGGACACAAATCGCACAGAATCCATGGAGGTTCACATCAGCGTCATAGAGAGCCGACCCGACTCATTCGAAGCGTCCTGAGTCGTACTCTTCGCACGTGCTGTGTCCCGCCTTGGGCGAAAACCAGCGGCCTTCTGCCTCTTGGCCCCGAGGCCCAGGAAGACTTTCCACCAGAGAGAGCATGCTGGTTCTCAGGGAATGAGACATGAAATGACCCCTATATGGGTCAAAAATTCAACCAGACCGCAAATTAGAGTCCTTGTGTCCATTTACCAGGGTTCCGTTTGGGTGCCTATTTTTGACCCACACCATCCAACGGGGGGTTTCCTTTCCTGGGATTCCGGTTCATTCCCAACTCCTATGTCTCGGTCATTCCTTACTGAGAACCAGTAAAAAAAGGTGTCTCGTGGACATCAAAACACTAAGACCCCAGCTGAGGGGCAGTCTGGGCACCTGACAACGCGAGCGAAAGCCGGTGGCAAAACCACTACAGGGCCCTGTGGGGCTTGGGTCCCCACTGGAAAGCTAAAAAGCTAAGGTCATGGCTGGGAGCCAAAAAAGAAAAGCACCTGCAGTCTCCATGACCCTTTAAAAGTAGGTCCATGACCCCAGTTTTTAATGACCGTCTGTCTCTTTGTCTTTTTGTGTGGCTGTCTGTTTGTTTGTTTGTTTGCTTGCTTTGTTTGTCTGGCTGTCTGTTTGTTCGTTTGACTGTGTGTTTGTTTGTTTGTTTGTTTGTTTGTTTGTTTGTTTGTTTGTTTGTTTGTTGGTTCGTTTGTTCGTTCGTTTGTTTGTTTGGTTCGTGGGTTAATTGGTTGGTTGCTTGGTTGCTTGGTTGCTTGCTTGCTTGGTTGGCTTGGTTGGTTTGCCATTTTCAAAGGGTCATGGAGACTCTCGGCAGTTATTTACCCGAGTGCTGGAACCCAACAGATTCATTGCTCTCTGAGTGTGGCACCCCATGAGGGAAGCCGCATCACTTGCAGTGCTGGCAGGTGAAGTGCCTAAGCAATCGGATCTGTTGAGCTTGAGATTTCGAAACCCCACGGAAAAGAGGAACCAAACACGGCGCCCCACCGCATTGTCGGGAAGTTCTCATCCAAACCTTGCGCCATGCGAGGAAACTTGCAAGCCCGACGCGCAACGCCGCTGAGGAGACTGGGATATGTCCACCGAACAAAAATGCAGCTACTGGCCCAAACAAATACTCAGGGAAACACGCGACTCAAAACAAGTGCATAATTCCGCTACTGGCGTTGACACCTTTGTTCGCCGCTGATCTGCCCCGTTCGCCGGGCAAAAAGAAAACCTTCCTATGCGCCGGATTCCAAAACAAAACGCAAGTGAACCAACGACATACCGCAAACCCCCGGTCAATCGTGAAGAATCGCAAGTTCCAAATGTCCAACTTCTTCCCCCAAGGATTTCTGGGCGCGCGGCACCTTCTGGCTGGAAACCTGCCCAAGTGCTCGTGGAAGCCACCGGGCTTAGTTCTCAAAATAGGAATCGGAGCTCTGCTTGGGCGGCTTTAAACAGAAGCCAAACGGGAACTCACCTACCTGGAGGGGCCCCAATTTTGAGAAACAAAATGGTCTTCCCCAAGCACAGCAACCCAGGCGCTGAGTTGCAAAAAGTAGCAAGCCCCGGCAAGCCCGGCTGGGCCATGGATCCTGAAATACTGCTGGCAAATAGCTCACTTGTTGACAGGGCTGATTCTCCTCCAGTAGAGAGCTTAGAATAAGGGTACCCGATTTTTCCGTAGTCTATTTTATTAGGGGTTCCGCCTCCCCCCAAAAAAGAAACGGTAAAAGTTGGCACCTAGCTGGGGGACCTAGGTGATTCCATTTCCCAAGGCGCCCCTGAGATGGCCATATTCTGACTCAGCTGCCCAGTGGCCGTGGGAAAAATAAGGACATCCTTTTTGGCAACTGGGTTGACAATGGCGGCTGAGGTGCTTTTTTTGCATAGCCCTGACATTAGTGCCTGGGGACACTAACGGACAAAGGTTTGGGGTAGGTTTAGGGTAGGCTTGGGGTAGTCCGTTCAAAGCTAGTTCAGACCCGGCATCGTTTTGACATCCTCAGCAGTTTTCAACATCCTCAGCATCACCAGGTTTTGGTTTAGGCTGGGTTTAGGGTGGTTTCCAGGTTGGCTCCGGGTTGGCTCCGGGTGGGTTCCAAACCTATTGAGAACAAATTTGGGATGGTTCAGTTCTGGTTTCTGGCGGGGCCACGGTTGTGTTTTAAGCCTTGAGGAAGCCAAGTTTAAACCCACGCGAAACCGGCCCTAAACCCAGCCCCAAGAAGCCCCCCCAGAAACCAGCACTGAACCATCTGCCGCAAACACAGCCACCCCCAAATTTGTTCTCAATAGGTTTGGAACCCACCTGGAGCCAACCCTGGGCCAACCTGGAACCCACCCTAAACCAGCCTAAACCAAAACCTGGTGATGCTGAGGGTGTTGAAAACGATGCTGAGGATGTCAAAACGATGCCGGGCCTGAACCCACCCTAAAGGGACTACCCCAAGCTTACCCTAAACCCACCCTGAACCCATCCCAAACCTTTGTCCCACCGAGCCGCCAACCCAACCAACCAACCAGCCAGCCAGCCAGCCAGCCAGCCAGCCAGCCAGCAACCAACCAACCAACCAACCAATCAAGCAACCAACCAACCAACCAACCAACCAACCAACCAACCACCTGCCAGGGCTAGCCCTGTGCCAGGGCTAGGCCAAAAAACACCCTCAATGGCCATGGGACAAAATCCCGTACGCCCAGTGAACATCCCAATCCCCACTAAGATAGGTTCTAAAATGGGTGCAACTTGGGCATCCGCTTCGCATCCGCTTCGCCTACTTCCCGGAAGAAGTCACCGCCGTGTAGGTCGCCCTGGGAATGGGCTCACCATAGAGTCGCATGCGGCTGACTGTTTTTTTTTGGTTTCAACGGGGGTGAAAGCGTTGTTCACGGCAAGGAATCCAATTTTAGCAGTGGTTGGATTTCAACAACTAGACCACAAGAAGCAAAAAACTACAAAATGTTTCGCGACAATGAAAGAACTCCTAAGCGAGGGATGGATCAGGAAATCATGACAGCAAAACCAAGCAGATTCCTGGTAGATGTCATCTTCATGATGTGTCCTGGTAATCTTCATGTGTTGAATGATGTGAGTCCAGCACCCAGGCCCCTCTTCCAAAAAGCATTGGCTGGACGGAAGAAACTCGAGGCCGGTGCGCATTGCCCCTTGCAGCCAAGCTTGGTCCACTTGGCGGTGAATGACGACGGAATACTCTGCCCCCAAAGGGGACCTGGACATATTTCACGCGATCATTTTTGGGGGGGACATGACAAAAAATGGGAACCCAACTCAGGGAAACGAAACGGATAAAAGGGCGATTCGCTTAGGGCAAGTGAGAATATACCAAAACATCGAATGGAGTGTCTCTTTGAGAGCAGGCACATTGAAGATCAATCTTGAATCCCCAGGATGCCATCTCAGGGATGTCTGCGGAAAGAGCTCCAATCAAAACAAATCCCTCCAAACTACTAATTGAGATCAGCTGACAGCGTGGCAGACATCCACAGTCCCTCTAGGACACCGGAGTAAGATCCAGAACCCAAGACTGCGGACCAGCTGATCCTGGCCAACCTGGGTTGTTCAAACCGGGGAGATCCCGCCGCAATCTGAAGATGGGAGAGCACCACTGGAAGCGAACCATCTGGCAGGATCTTGCTGGTTGATTCTCAGCAACCCAGTGCGACCGAGGATCGGTGCAAAAAAATGACGAGGTTCCGCAGGACACCAATTTTGGCAGGGGATCAACCAGAAACCCATGGTCCACCATGAGTCCCTATATTTCCCCAAGCATCCATTCATGAAAATTGGAAACCCAATTTTAAGAGCAGTGTCCGATATGACGTTCACAACCAACAATCGATGTTTATCAAACAAACAATCCATGTTAACACACAAATAATCAATGTTCGTGGAAACCAATCGATGTTCATACCAACAAAAAACGACGTTAACCACAAATAGCATGGGATTTAGGCGTCTTCACCAAGCAAACATGCTCCCCCAGTTGCGAAAAAAAAAATCCGCGAGGCTCCGGCCACGAGCCGTGCTGGCGCAGCGGCCAAGCCCCCGGGGAAGCCACAAATGTGGCGGCCGCCTGCCGAAAATCGAAAGGAAGAATCATCTGAAACACAGCGACGGGGTGAAGGTTCCAGGCGAAGGTTCCAGGCGAAGGTTCCAGGGGGTGAAGGTTCCAGGTGAGGGGTTCAAGGGGTGGAGGCGCCATTGAAGGCTGCAAGAAGTCAAGGTTCCAGGGGGTGAAGGCGGTGAAGGTTTCTTTATTCAGGGGGTGAAGGTTCCAGGGGGTGAAGGTTCCAGGGGGTGAAGGTTCCAGGGGGTGAAGGGTTCAAGGGGGCGTGAAGGTTTCTTTATTGAGGGTGGATGGTTTTTGATGAAGGGTGATAACCAGCAGTCCCCAAACTTGCCTGGTGATTCAATGCAACCAAAATCCCAGGTGTCCAAAAGGAAGTGGTGGACCTGGGTGCAGAACAACTCACTTGCGACCAGGAAATGAAAGCTTGACTGTTTGGGGCTATGAAGCAACTAGGGAAACGGCTTTGGGCAAGTGAGATAACAAACCTAACGACCATGGCAACAATCACACACATGACAGAAAGGACAACACATACGGCACACAGGGACACAATACTAAACATGACACCAACCACACACCCACGTAGCTAATCATGACGGCACACACACACAACACACAATATCACGCGCACACACACACACACAACACACATGATATAACTAAACCACATCGCAAACATAACACTAACACATGACACACATGACAACCATGACCCCAACGAAACATAGCAAACATGAATCTTAGGTTTGCAAATGTGTCATAACTAGAAACCCTTTCAAATTGGTTGGCCACACAAAGAAAACTAATAACCATAACACCAATAACAAACATAACGACACCACCAACAACCATAACGGCGATGACACACATAAAAAAAAAAAAAAAACTAACACACACACACATAACGCACGTGACAACAATAACACTGGTGATACACACGAGAACAACACAAAGAGAACAAGCAGGCACCGCTCCGAACAAATAAACAGGCAGCTTGCCAGAAACTGGGCCAAATGGTGCCAAGGAGCAACTGGAAGTCTAACCGAGAAATGTCTGATACTGACCCCATATAAATCAACCCCGGGCGTTACTCTCCAAAAGTGATGATTCCCCACTAAACCCAGGGACACCCCCATATTAAACAGGGGTCGAGAAAATATGGGGTCAGCATTAGTGAATACAACAAATGCCTATAATCCATAACTGATAGCTAATATCGTACGTGTGCACTTGCTCGACCATGCCAAGTGACCCCATCGGCCTCGTGCGGCAAACAGCTGCATCCGAAATCCTCGCGGCCAAAGCGCCGAGCTGGTTGGACGGCTGGAAAGCCCTTTGCTTGAGTGTGTGTGTGTGTGTTGTGGAGGGATTGCAAAGACGTGGACCTTGTAAATTGTACGCTTCTCTCTGCTTGCTGTGTGCTGTCCTTTGACTTGCACTGCACATTTGCTGGTTTTGAACCTGTCGACAACTGGCTACCTGGTGTTACAAGGAACGCCCAATTAAGATCACATTGCAACTGGCTGCAACTCTACCTCTTGCTATGCCGACCTGATGCGTTTACCCGAGCTTGGCCCTGGCCCACCTACCACCACAAGCCTGCGCGGGTGGCCGGCGCACCTGGCGATCAAAACCCGGTCGAACGCTCCACACGCGAACCCGCACCTTTCAACTGCCTTCCGAGAGGAAGTCGGAGCACTTCTCGAACCCCTTTCTTACTGAAGAAAGGGACCCCAAATGTAAGCCGCGGTTCCACATTTGAGGGAGTGGTCTGCCGGTTCCGAAAGTGGTTCACTTGGGGTTTGCCAAGACCAGGTTCCAAGAAGGCACTCCCCGACGCCGATGTAGCCCACCTTCGCTGTCCTGGCCTCAGACGGAAGTACCCGTACGAGTCTATGCTTGAAGATCGCTTTCACCAGGGCTGGCTTACTGGATCAGAAACGGGTGTTTGGCTTGAGGCTCTTTTGGGGAAGCTCCAGGCCGGGTTGATTTTGGGTGGATGTCTCATTGGCAGAGATGGACAGGTTTAGTGCTATGGTCGTTTCGGGCCAATTTGCAGTTGCTCATTTGAGTCGGGAGCTGGTTTGCGGTTGGATTGCAAGCTCAGGTTGGCGCGGGGCATGGCTGAGTTGGAGGCCAGTGGGCGAAAGGCTGAAACGAAGGGCAAGAGGGGTGGAAAGCGAGGCGCAAGGTGGACCACACGTCACACACTTCTTATGAATAGCGGGGCCCAGCATAGGCACCTCAAAGGCACATACAAGAGGTATCTGGTTTAGGGGGCGACGACGCCTTAGGGTAGTGCCAGGCATCCCTCTGCAGCCTTGCTCCCAGATCCATTGTGGGTAAATTACAATAATTCACCAATCAAAGAAAAACGTGATTATTCCAGCACCCCCCCCCCCCCCACAACCAGTGCTTTTTGGACACTTGGGATTTTGGTTGCATGGTTGAAAAAGCAGGTAAGCTGGGACGGGTGCTGGTTTCTACCCCTTCACATTATAACCTGCAAGAAGGACACCTCATTGGGTGACGTCGTAACCGGATCTCTCAAACGCTAGACGTCGCATCAGCTTCTTGCCCAGACATTCACTTGGGTTCATGAAGCCTGCACGGCCCCGTTTTCTTTTTTTTTTCCGCGCACCTCAACGGGTTTGCCATGTGCCCTGCATTTCAGGGATCCTGCGACCAGTCGTCGCCACTTTCTGGCGTCCGCCTTACCCTTAGGCACATGGCAAGGCAAAGAGCCGCCAACTTTGTGGGGCGAAGTGCTTCGCTTGAAACCGCGGAGAGTTCAAAGAGTCTCAGCTGCAAATCCGGGACATGCCCTGGTACAGGCCGTTGTTGGCATACCTCAGGCATGAGGGTTCAACCTCCCCGCACAAAAACAAAAAACATCTACTTTTACCCCCACCAGGGTGGTTCATCCCTGACCAGGGTGCCACATTTGCCAAACATCTGTGCATACCAGGAGAAGAGAACCTGCTTCGGGAAAGATCGCTTCCTGCCCAGTGACATTTCGGAACCATCGAGCTGTACAAGCAAGCAAAGGCTGCTGAGCAGGGGCCTGATGGATCAAACATTGCTCAAATAAATCAATGGTCAGCATTACCAAAGGAGACATAGCAATTGGGTTCAAAGACCACATGCCAAGGGTTCCTCTATAACTTTTACAATTGCTCCAAACCGGCCAGCTCATATAGCAGAACAATTTCTACATGTTGATGTTGAAGCCACTAGACAGGCGGCACACAGGTGAGTTGTGAGCATGGTTGCATGGTTGTGACGGAGCCAACAGTCCTGCCAGTCCTGCCAGTCACCCGCCGGTACCACTTTGTGGGTTGAGCATCTGAGTATGGGAACACTTCTATGATGGTGCAAGTCCCAACAGACCTGAAACTGCTTTCGACGACACGCGTACTTCGCATTGGACGGCAATCAACATCCGGTACAGGTGGTTTGGTGGTGACACGCGAGAGTAGCCAAAGAGGCTTGTACATCTTCACACCAGAATGCCCAATTCGCCACGTTTGTCATATATACATATACATACGTAACTATATATCATATCATATTATATTATATTATATCATATTATATTACATTACATTTCACCTCTGTTTTTCTCTCATTAAAGGCCCCACCCCAACCAACCAGTGAGTGACGCGCTGCTGGTCATTTCTCTCCACCTCGCTCTCTCTGATCGCCGGGACGCTGATCCATAAAGCGCTGCCACTGTGCCGTCAGCGCCGCGCAGCGCCGCAGCTTCTCCGCCTCCAAGGCCTGCAGTCTAAGGGTTTTTTGTATTACACCCTGGGAATACACCCACTGGGTATCCTTTTTGATTGGCCCTTATCGGGGGAGCCCTAACGGAACGGAACACACACCTGGGCTGTCCAAACTGTTTTTTCTGCTACAAGTTTCACACATTTAGTGGGTTCAGTGGAAGCCCAAACACCAAACCAACTAAGAAGCTCCAAAAGCTCAGGAGCCGGATGGCCTTGGCTTGGTTGACGTTGGAAGGGGAGCAACACAATTGTGTATTTTTTGTTCGCAGCTAAGTGGTTGGATTGCAACCACTAAACCACAACAAGCACACATGGAAAATGTTTCCCAACAACCGCCATCTTGGGGAGCCACGGTGTCCCTCACTCCGTGTCAGCTTCACCGAACACAGCGCCTCCTGCAGCTCACGCCTCAGCTTCTGTGCGCTGGGCAGCAAGGCGAGCGCGGCCTGAAGTCAAGTAAAACCACCAACCAACCAACCCACGTGAGTCACATGCTCAAAACCCGGTATTAAAATGGTCGTAATCCCAGAACCATGCTTCAAGAATTAAGAAGGCGGCCGCAAGCATTTCTGGCTGGGACTTCCCCTGACTAACCTTCATCTGTTTTGACTGTGGCTCACGTGCCATTGGGAAGAGGCTTCAGCTTAAGTCCCTGCAGTCAAATGCAAACTGCACATCAACATGTTCAGGAATTCAGAACCAACCACGGCAAACGAACCAGGCGGCCGTTGGGGTGTGAGGGTTTGCGTGGAAGTTTTCCTTTTGCGGTTTTAGTTCAAGGGACAGCAAAGGGGAAAAGCAGCAGATTCGCTTTTTTGCCCCGACTTGTAACAAACCCAGCATGTTTCTTCTCCCCATTGGCTGGCAAAACCACTTGTTTGTGCTGGGGAAGACACACCTTCCCAGCCCGAGAGACGGCCCAAGGCCCTTTTTCCAGCGTGTGGCAATATGTTCGACCAACACTTTTGGCTGTGGCTAAAAAAACCGGAATTCCAAAATGGGTTGCCCTGGTAAGTGGAAACATGGACCAAAACCTGCGTAACCCCTCCTGTTTAATTTTGAGCCACACCCAAACCTTGTTAACCTCGGATCTACTTGCCAGTTGCTATCGGTTTCGGAGCCTTCCCCGCCAACAACGTTTCGGAGCATCGGCAAAAGTTGGACACCTGCCCTCGGTTGCGAAATCTGCTCCCCTGCTAAGAGCTTTAAACTTTTAGTGACTTTTAGTGGCTTAACGGAAAACCCACCAGTTGGCAAAAAAGTTAAAGTCCCAACATCGCTTGGCAAAAGGCCCCAAAGTTCCGCCTCCTTCGGAAGCCCCGGCCTGATCGCAGCGATGCTCCGATCGGAAGGCGGTCAGCTCGCCTGTCGCGCAGCAGGCGTCATGTGGCTATGGGTCAAAACCCCGGTGCCCCGGCACCCAGAAAGCCTTCTAAAAGCCAAGAGTGGAGTCGAAATCATGCCCCAAAAAGGCACCTTAGGATTTGACCCACAACCATGTACCAATACCTTGGGCAATGCAGTAGACCAACATCTTCTGGGCAGATTCAATTGCATGCCGCGCGTGCAGGCGCAAGTTCATCAGGTTCCATTTTCCAGGAGCCTAGCTACAATTAAGTCGGAGAACTCTCCACTCGAGAGGTGGTATGTATTGATGCATGAGACGGCCGGGCGCAACACGTCTGGTATGCACCTCTTCCTGCAATCCCTGCTAAAGCCGCAGTTCACTCTCCAGTGATCCTGTTCACGGTGAGAACTTCTCTGCACTTGAAGATCACCGCTGGAACATGGCCGGGTTATACGGCGGCATGCACGTGGGGTCGGTTCCCACACGTGCTGTGAGAACCTCAACGCCGGTCTCTGTGACGAGGAAGGTGTGCTCGAACTGGGCGGACCTCTTCCCATCGCGGGTTACCGCGGTCCAGTTGTCCGGCCAGGTCCTGCGGGCTTCGTGGAGCGGACCTTTCCAACCCTTAGCCCAAAACTTTGCTTTTTTAAAGCCCTTTTACACAAAATGAACAGAACACAAACACCTAAAAACGGAGACAAAAAAGAAAACAGTGAATGGAAGTTCAACTTGCTGAGTTCTCGGTGAAACAGCCTTTAGGTTTGAGACTCAATCGAACGTCTTCGCTTGGATGGCACCGGTCCTCCCCCCCCCCCCCAACCACATATTACCGCCAAGAAAAAGAGGATCTTGCATCCCTTTGGGCTCACTTTGGGGTCGTCCAAGAGTCACCGCAAAAAGCGGATGTTGCATCCCTTGGGCTCACTTTGGAGTCGTCCTGTCCCCGCCATTCCCGCCCAGGTTGATCATGGGCTCGACCGTGAAGACATGGCCCGGCTTCATGATGCCCACAGCCTTGTTCTTCCGGTAGTGGGGCACCTGAGGTCATCTTTAGTCAGGGGCAAAGCATCCCAACTTGTCAGGGGGTTTCAAAGCAAAGCAGAGGACACAAGGGGACAAAACACCAACAAACCCAACTTCCAACCCCCTGAAAACAAGGCCAAACTCAAAAGGACACCACTGTGCCCCCCCAGAAAACTTCCTTCCACCAGGCCCCCCCCCCCCCCCGTTTTCGGCCCCAGAAAAGCGAATCCCCGTCCCCGTGGCAATTCGTTCCGCGCCTTGGGCGGGCCGTGGAAGAGCTTCCCCACGCCGTGGCCACAGTAGGTGGTCACCACCGCGCAGTTGTTCTTCGACGCCTGGAAAACCGGCAAGACAAATTCACCCGCGCCCGCCGCGCCTTTTTTGTGGTCCCTCTGGCAAACATGATCAAACACGCGTCCAGGTGAAAAAACATCGAGCCCCTGTGGGAAGAAAAAAAAGGGGGACAAGAAAATGGCATCACTTTGGAGCAGGGTTGCTAACCTCCGGTCAGTTGACGTGAGGCTACCCACATCGCCTCAGGCAAGTACGGGAGAAAACAAAGCTGCGGCGCTTTGATCTCTTGGACCATCTGAGTTTCCAATGTCCAAATCGTTCGGAAGGGCAAACGTATTCGAAGGCATGTAGGGACATTGGACATGCGAAAAAACCTTGGACATGCGAAAGCACTCGAAGGGCAAAGTCCTTGGACATGCGAACCTTGCGATCCTGCAAGTTCAAGCTGTGACATGAATCGGCTAGATTGTGGTCGAGCATGTCCGCCACAATCTCCTGTGGGAAAAGCAGGTCTGGCTGAAGAACTGGGCCGTCTGGCAGAGTCTGGCAGGATACCCCACGGGCATGAGAGAGAGCCAACAGTCTTCGGTTTAGCCAAGAGGTCAAGTGGCGAAAGTGTCGCATTGTCCTGGCCGCCTCTGTCACCACGTTTGCAAAAGTCATGGCATTTGAGTCATTTGAATGTGCGAGTTGGGAATGTGCACGGGTGCGACCGGGCGAGCGTCAGGGACCTGCCAACAGGGAGTCTTGCCCCCTGAGTGAGTCATCACAGGCGGATGAGTGCCCGTGCACAAACGGAAGGAAAGCCAAAATTCAATCCAAGTTACCCCGATATCTTCCCTAGCGCCTACAGGAGGCCATTTCAATTGTTCAAGCCATTTAGTTACACCGGCAGTCCAGGTCGGTCCGAAAGCATGGATGGTGTTGGGAGGCAACTTTTTAGGGTTTGCCACTCGCCAAGCTTTCACTTCTTTCAGAAAGAGCGTTCTCAGGCGAACGTCTGACCAACTGTTGTTGGACTCTTTTTAATGTTCCAGGTTGAATGTGAGAAGAAACTTCCACCCTAAGTCAAATTATTGACGCCTTGACGTTTTCCCTAAGGTACTCCGAAGCGAGATGCGGGGCCTGCGCAAGTCTGGCGCATCTGTCCGCAACCCGAATCGCCAAGCGCATGATTCTTGTTCATCCTGCCTATCACGGAGGCCAAGTCAGCCTGCGACTTCAATTTCATTTTTCTGCATGTTTTTTTTGGGGGGCATCATATCTAAGATTGTGCGATCGACCTATTGGATGATGTCATGATCTTCCAAGTTGACAAAGCGAACTGCAGGCACGCCCTTCAGAAGGGGTTCGGCGATACCTATGGCATCCCTAAGGATGGCGACAAGCATGGCAACTTTTGATAAACAAATAGCCTCAAGGCTATCTGTCAGTCCGTTTGTATGTTCCAACACATGGATGGCTGCTTCACTCTACTGCAGGCCCGTCCGCTTCAGTTTCATTGCCGCCTTACACACATCCCAGGCCCTGCTATCGAGAGTATCTGGCAGACATGGGCGGATATTGACGAATAGCACTTAGCAGTTTCGCCGCGGCAACTGACAATTTGCGCCACAGGCAATTCAAGTTGCATGGAGAGTCTTGAAAGCCATCCCGAACATCGGTCATTTCCTGGCACTCCACGAGTGCCGTCGGGTTGTCCACATAAACGGCGACTGCCATCGCTTTCAGGCGGCCATTTCCTTTTTTCAAATTCAGTTCGGGATCCGCCCACCACATTTCCAAAAAGCAGGTTTTGCTTGTCAGCCGCGAATTCAGCGATTTCTTTGGCAGTAAAGCAACAAGAGGTTGGGCGTGTCTTTCCCATCGGTCCGCTTGTTGACTTCTTGAAGGACGAGGCGATTCCAAGTTGTTCTGGCAACAGCGTGACTTTGTGCTTCCTGGCGAGACTAAAGTGCACGCCGCGATCCGTGACAAGCAAACCGGTGCTAAGATACTGCCAATTCAGGTGCTGGCACATTTTGAGGGGGATGCCTGCCGGACCAACAGGAAGTCTGGGATTTTGGTTCGTGATGTCAAAAAGTGCAAACAGGGATTGTTCAAACAAGGGCCCAAGGGCTGCCAATCTCCGTATTGTTTGCCACGTTTTATTGTAATAATAAAACGCGACGCTATTGGCAAGTCACCGCCATTCCGAATGGAATCAAACTGAGTATGTCCGATGGGCAGCGCTCAGTAGCAAATTGCTGGCAATATTCCTACAATTCTTGCTTGAGCTTTGCCGCTGCCGCAGCAATCGCTTGGCGCTTGTTTGAGCTGGAGCCGCATCAATCGCTTGGCTCAGGGTTGCCCGTCGGCCTTACGGACCTTGCAATTCTCCAGCTTGATTGATCGTGTGTAGTTTACCTCTGCTCCTAGATCTTTTTCAGAGTACGGTCCATGATTTTGTTTCAAGGACGGGTGCATGGCCCACGCACAACTTTTGGAAATGAAATAATAAACCTACATGCATCACAGAAATGCTGAAGTGGTTTGGCAAAGGTAGAACGGTTTTCGGGATTCAATGCTTCTCTACTGTGCCCTCTGATTCTTTCTGCGGGGTACGCATCCCCCCCCCCCCCCCGTTTTTGCATTCCCTAAGCTCGGCTGTCCTCAGATTGTTCGCTAAAAGTTTAACTTTTAGTGGGTTAAATGCAAATCCCCACTAAACACTTCGAGGGGGCTGCGGGGGGTGGAAGGGGAGGGGGAGGGAGCACAAACAAGCCCTTATTAAGCCCCTAATAAGGCCTTAATTATGTAGGAAATATTTGGGCTCCCTCCCCCTCCCCTCCCTCCCCCCCAGCCTCCATGAACACTAAAAGGCTAAAAAGCTAAGGGACCGGATGGCTGGGAGCCACCAAGTAACATCCGGCCTCTGTGGAGATGGCGGCGCCCAAATCTCGATAGAAGGTGCCAGGCCGGATGAGCTGCGAGGCCGCATAGAGCGCGCTGTAGGCCGTCTGCACCAAGCGCTGCGAGTCTTCATCGCAATCACCGACGAAGAAGGTCTCGTTGAGATCCGAGTGGAAGCCCTTGTAGTAGACACTGATGTCCAGATTCACAATGTCGCCCTCCTCATGATTGGGGGAAAACTGACCTTGCAGTAGCGGATCCCCAGTCCCATGACAATACTAGTTGAAGGGCATTTGATTTGTATCACAGAAAGAGTGTCCCTAAACCCCCTGCTTTCCACAACCATGCTCCTCACATAGGTGACCCTCGGAGAAAAACAAAAAAAACAATTGGCAAAAGCAGAACCCCTCCAAACCAGAGGGAAACTATTCTTTTGCACACCAAGCCAACGGATCGAACGGCTCGACCCCGACTCCGCTCCTCAATGGCTCTGCAATCCGGGATGCCGTGGCAGATCACCTCGTTCACGGAGGTGCAAAGAGACTTCGGGAAGCGGAAGTAGTTCAAAGGGCTCGGATAGATCCTCGGCCATGCGCGCCCATTTGCGCCCATTTGCTTTTTCGAGCCCGGGTTTTTTCTGGGCAAACGTGAGAACGTGTGTCCAGTGAGCATCTCGAGCCCGATTTTTGTTTCATGTGTCCGGTGAAATCGACTCCAACTTCAAGACTAGGGGAACATAACACATATTCATCTCAGCAAATCATGGTTCCAATTGAAGACTTGCGACCCAACGAAGGTTTCGCACCCAGCACGGGGCCCAAGAACCGCGTTTCCAAAAACAACTTGGCATGGTCCAACAAGTGGCGGGTGGGAGCCAGATGGCTGATAACATGGAGCTCTATCGTCCCCATCTTGCTGATCAGAAAAAAAAAAAAAACAATCTGACATGTGTTCCTTCTTAAACAAAAACGCTGTGAAACTGAACGTTGTTTTTCACCGAGAAGCCTTCCGCGCCCAAAATTACATGTGGCAAAAAAAACAAAAACACAGCAAACCGGAGGTTGATCGCCTCAATGGGTAAAGCACATCCCTTGGAGGGGACGCCGTCAAACTGGAGCCCCCAAATGCCATGGGTTTTCTCTTGCTTGTGGGTTTCCTGTTGGTTTCCCTTTGAAACGCCCCGCAGAATCTGATCTGGCCTTTGTTCCTAGCCTACGGGCTTTAGCAGAAGCTGCTTGGTTTGGGTTGAAATTGCTTGGATGCTGAGTTGATTTGGCGGGGCTGGCTTACTTTGAGTTGAGGGCAGGCTTGTGGCAGAGTTCAGTCAGGATGGAGCTTATGATGAGTTGGCTTTGGGCTGGTTGAGGACGGGTAGGGGTGGTTTGAAGCGGGCCTCAGTGGGAGTTCTCGTGGGTTTGGGTTCGGGCGGAGCTAGTTTTGCAGGTTGGCTCTGGGGTGTTGGTAGCTTCGGCCTTCGGTGATTTGGGCAACGCTCCAAAACCAACACAAGACCAATCCAAGCCCCCGACGAAACCCATGCCGAAGCCTGGCCCAAAGCGGCCTCCAACTGGGCCAGGCCAAACAAACTGCCAATCAAACCGGCCAACCTACCAACCCAATCCAGGAATCCAACTCCAAGCAAACCAACCAACACCTTCAGCCAACCAACTCAACCCCCAACCACAATCCACCAGCCAGACCGGCCAAAGAGTCCAGTGCAAGAGCCAGGCACAAAAAACACCTTAGCCAGGCCCTCAAAGCTTTTGGCCACCACCCATTTTGCTCACTTCCGATCAAGTTGGCCAGAAAACGGTCTTAACAACTTCTTGTTTACAACATCAAACAAATTAATGTCCATGAACTCAGGGAGAGAGTTTATACAGTCACAGGATTTGTCCGAGCCGATTCGGACAACTCCGTGGCCTCAGCCGCGGCGCTTCCGGTCTACACAGGCTTGGTACACCACCCGGTCGATCTCGTCTCCTGTGACCCCGGGCCGCATGAACCGCGCGGCGATGTCCAGAACCTGAAAGGCTTTCCTCATGGCTTGGTCAAGTGTTCCTAAATCCCCCTCAACAGTTGGGTATGGGTCAAAATAAAACGGTCACCAGGAATCGGACCGCGGGTGTGAGTCCTTCTTTCCATTTGGGGTACCTATTTCTGACCCACAGCCAGTTGCAATCTACTGGTGGCTTTCGTTGAAACTGCCACTTCTGGAGGTACCAAAAAGGGAAATAGAGGAAACCACCAAGGGACCAGCCCTGTAAACAAAAACAAAAACAATCGGCCAAACGGGCCAAACAGAAAAAACAACAACAACAACTCATCCAGCACAGGAATTAACTTCAATTTTCCAAAAAGTCGGAAGGCGTCTGTGGGTTCAACCCCAGGGGGTGAATGGGATATACAACAACTGCATAACCACTAGATGAATAGGCTGGAATTAGGACCCCAGCAAAAAATAAATATCTGTTTTGCCTGGTGAGTGGAACACAAAGGGACCCCAAAAAAGCAAAAAATGCAAAAAAAGAGAGCTAATTCTGGGGAAGATGAAGGGTACATACCACAACCTTTTTGGGGTAGTGGTTTGGGGGTAGTGGAAACCATCATGGAGAGTGCAAAACTGTTTAAGGAGAACATTTATGATTGCCCCAGCTTTCCTCTTGCCCACAAGAGGTGGCGAAAGGACCACACAGGTGGGTCGAGCATGTCTAAAGGAAAACCGCAAGGCTGAAAAAAACACATCGAAGTGATGCAAATGCTTCAGGGATGAAACATACAATGCTTAACACACTGAAATGTGTTTGTTTCCAAGCATGGGGGAATTGCGACTTTCCTTTGAAACTCCGAAAGTGGATACCCTCAACACTAAATTAATTCATAACAGCCCGATTGGATGTCAAAAGGACCACAATGAACAAGCCAATGAAAACAACTGCCCTTTTGGTGTTCTTCGAGAAAATGAAACTGTCCATTTAAGGCACCCAGCCAAAATCAAACCAATTCATAGATCCACCGAAGCGCCACTTGATTTGGGCTCCTCAACCAAAACCAGTCAGGTCAGCTAAGCAACCAATGTAACACAGAAACCCAGGAGTTTTGGAGGAATCTCATCTTTGGGGCCAATACCAAGTTCCAGGTCAATTTCTAGGGAGAAAATCCTAGGTGACACAAATCACCGGATTTCCCGGAAAAGACAAATAATAAGAAAACAAAAACGCCAGCTGAGGGGGCGAGCCTCGCGGCCTAGGCGGCAAGCAGTGCGCATGGTTTCCAGCTCCTGAAAAAGTTAGGTCTTGCCCGTTGCTTTACCAAGATAAACTTGGAGGCGGTGTGAAAATTCTTGACTGGAATTAGGACCCCAGCCAAAAAATATATGTTTTTCGAGGTTAGTGGAAAACAAAGGGGACCCCAAAAGAGCAAACATCAAAAAGGGGAGCTACTTCTGGGGAAGACTTGCGGATTTTTCTTTTTGAATTCGGAAGCCCTAAAAATGGGGGGCGGTGACATGGGCCAACAACTGCTGTCGGAAATCAGGTTTGAACCCCCACCCGTGCTCAGTGGTTGGGTGCTGGCAAGGCGATGTCACAATTGTGCACCTCTGCCTTAGGCTGCCCCCATTGAAAGAAAGGTGGACCCAATTTGGATGATGGCAATCCTTAAACAATGGTGGTTACATGAGCCCATTGTCTTGATGGTTTGAATCCCAGGGTTTGCTTGTAGCCCGGTGAATGACATTCCAGAGCTTCAGGAGGGGCCATGGACCAGTCCACGGAAGCCGGCAGCTGGACCCGAATGGGATCAGCCGAGTGCCGCTGGGCCACTCCACTCGGCCCCGCAATACCTGGGGCCTCGTGGCTGGTCTTGAAGTTGGCTTTCTCTGATGCTGGCTCTGGCTGCTCCGTCGGATCGTCTTCATGTTTGGGATTCTACTTCTCTCCAAGGAAGGTCAGCTTGAAGGGAGAGAACTCAGACGCTTTGTCTGCCCCCACCAGTAATGTTGATTTGTTTTTTTTGGTCATACGCTACCTCTGGGTATCTGGCCGATTTTACTTGGTTTGCACAAGGGTTGAGATCCTGAAGAGCCACAGTACCCTTGTCACAGAAGCAAGGGACCAACAATTCTGGAAAACCGATTGGATGCGGTTTTTGTGGATCCACCTGTGTCGGATATTTGAAGCGTACTAAAAGAGTACTAAAAAGAACCTAGAGGGGGAAGAACGGGTGAAATCCACGAAAAGCGCATCGAAACCGTTTTCCAGAACAACACTCGAACGATTCCTGTCGCTTGCGGCGCAGCTTTGATACGACGGGTACCAAGACAGTGGCTGCACTACACAATCCCATGGAGTGCCTGCACAAAGTCACGCACAACGCATCAATCAGCCAGAAAATATCTGATTGCGTGAATGTGTTTTGAAGGTACCCCTGTTGGGGTTGGCTTAAGGTACCCCTTTTGGGGTTGGCTTCAAGCGAAACTTTTATGAAGGAGGACAAATCTGGCAGGCGCCATATGGCAGGCAGGCGCTGGGCAGTCCTCGCCCTCCAGAACTGGCACTTCCCTCACCCCGGCGCGCTCACACGCAGAAGAACCATCCGCTTGGAGAGCGTAGTCCTCCCATTGGTGGCGGAAAGTCGTCGCTTTTTCGGTGGCTGTTTGCTGAAAGGTCACCCCAGGTTTTTGAGACCTTTTGATCAACCCTCAGAGATCGAATGTCGGCCATGTTGCGTTTTCGGCGGGAAAATGAGAATAATATGTCCAGTAGTGAAATCGATTCCCTGTAGAACCAGGGAATCGGAAAAACAAAAAAAACACGTTGATCTGGGCGTGTCTTTCTGGGGGCTCCCTCCAACATTGATTTTTTCTTTCTTTTTTTTTTTGGGGGGGGGGTGGTTCCTTTAGACCCCCACAAACACGAGCCTCCGCCGCCCCACAAAAACACGGCCACCTCCCATCTTCGTTGCCGGCAGTCCGGCAGCTCGATGGGCTCCGGCATGCGCAGCTGCTTGGTCACAAAGGCCGGGCGCAAGGGGCCCGAGTATTGGTAGCCCCAGAACTCCTTTGGAGGCTTCTTCAGCTCCTGCCGGCTGGACCAAAGCTTAAGCTCCAATTGGAGCGAAGCCTGCCCTGAGTCCAAAGGTTCCTTACCCCTTAAAACTCCAAGCCCTGGGGAAGTTAATCTTTTACAGACATACCTGAGAACTCCGTCGGGCTAAAATAAATGCCGTTGTGATTTTGGACGGGAACTTCTGCCGCGGCAGCAAAAAAAACGTTGAATTCCAGAAACGCCGGCAGTTTGCAAGAAACGCCGTTGGCCCCTGGCTGATCCAAATCAGCTCAGGGCCTCGGCGCAAAGCAGTCTCAGAAGGTAGCAACATGAAGCGCTGAACACAACACAAAACTGACTCTCGCCCCTTGCAAGGCGGCTTTGGTCGATCTGTGACACCTGGATCACTTCTCAATAAAGCGTTTGCGATCTCGAGTTCCGCCGTTGGGACGCGCGTTTCCGCCGTTGGGACGCGCGTTTCCGCCGTCGGGACGCGCGATTCCACCGTCGGGACGTAGGTTTCCGCCGGTGCAAGTCAACACATTTGGCGGTAAAGCTCGATGGGTATTCCAACAGGTCGCACCGAGTTTCACCAACCCACAAAGCCTAGCACAAAACCTGGCAAAGTTGCATAGTCGCGGTCAGGTGCGCAGATCTTGCAAAGCGGCGCACGTCAGGCAAAATGCCCACAAACCGCAAAAACGCCGTCGCAAATTGAAAAACGCCGCCACAACCAGCTCCCATTCGAGTTCCGCCGCTGGACGGCAAAAGGCGCCTTTTCGAGTCTCAGGCTGAAATTTTCGCCTTTTGGAGTTTATAGGTATAGCCCATGTTACCCCAAAAAGTTGAAAAGTTGTGTTTTTAAGAGGTAAGGTTCTCTCTTCTGCTCAATCTTGTGTCCCTTCTGTTCTCTTTCTGTTCAATTCTCTGTTCCCTCGAATTGGAGGGGCCTCCCCCATGGCTTTCGAAGCTTCTCGGTTGCTTTCCGCTCCCCTAAAAGCTTAACCTTTAGTGGCTTGATGGCAATCCCATGGGCAAAAAGTCTGAGTCCCAACATCCCTTGGCAACATGCACCAAAGCTTCCCTCGAATTGGCGAGGCCAAGCCTGCCCCACGGGAGAGAGATCCCCCCGAGTTCAGCTTCCCAGAAGGGGTGGTGATCTAAAGGTCCGAGGATGGGGCGACCAGAAGTGGATACCAAAGAAACTGTTGAGACCGCAGGGGAAAAGTTACCCATGGGAAAAGTTCGGGGCATACTGATCAACTTTCAAGTGGCTTCCAAAGCTTTCAACAAACATGCACAAGGAGCCATCAAAACTCTTGTCTCAATGGAGACGATTGTCCAAAAACGACTTAACTCTTTGTGTGCCACTAAACATGTCTTCCCAAACAAATGCATGACGTCCGAAACAAACAAACGGGGAGTAAGTGGTTTTGCATGCCATCCTGCGCCGGCATATCTCCCGTGCCATCCACGTCTTTCAGCAGCTTCTGGCACCATGCTGCAAAATCCTCGTCGGAGACCCCATAGGTCGCGATCCCGTCGAGGCCGCTGGTCCCAGCCTTCTTCTTGCCCCCTCGCCGCGTCTTCTTTTTCTTCTCCCCCTCCTCACCGTTCACTTCTGCCTCCATGGGAGGAGCTTCCTCCTTTACCTCTTCCGGCTCCTCCTCAACTGTTTCAGCTCCCTTGGCCTTCTTTTTCTTCTTTTTCTTCTTCTTCGCGCCATCGGTCGCCTCATCGGCCTCTGCGTCTTCCGGCGCCTCTTGGGCTGCCTCCTTCAACTCGATGGTCTCCGGATCCACGACCTCCTCCGATGGCTTTCCCATCGCCTAGAGACAGCTGGCTCCCTGCGCCCCCAGGCCAAGATGGCTGCATCCCGAGACAAATCCACCAGTCTCGCACGCGCAAAAAACAAAACACAGCGGAGGCACCATCCAGCTTAACCCAGTTCATTCATTCTCATCAGTCCGATGGGTCAAAACTGGAGGGACCACTGAAGTTCGCTCCAACATCTCTTGAAGCAACCAGTGCAATGACATGTCTCAAAGGCAATGTCGCGGTGCAACCGACATCGCGCCGATATCGACGCCTACCGCCTCTGCGCGCATGAGCTTCTGCAATGCCTACCGGTGCCAAGGAGGCGATGACGACACATCGAGCGAAAAGCCGACTCGTCGTTTTTCTTGGACGTCGACCAGGGGGCGCCTTGCAAGGGGTGCACAAAACAAAGGCCTCTACTCAAGAAACCTGAAAACAAGTGAGAGCTCCGGAAAAAGGCTCTGACCAAGAGGTTGACATGAAAGGCAATGGATCCACACACGGCAACTCATTGGCAAGGGCTTCATATTCAATGGGGGACAGAAACAAAGGGGCTTACTCGTATGCCATGCCTTTCTGTGCCGAAACTGGAAACTAGTTGATCACAGAATATATTTTCTGGAAACATGTGCATATGGGTCAAAATTAAACCACTAGGAATCGGACCGCAGGTTGTAGTCCCTGGTTGCATTTACCAGGGCAAGCCATGTTGGGTACCCATCAATTGACATGAAACCGTTCACCGTAAAAAGGGGGGTCCCGGTTTGGACCGTTTTCCTTCGGAAGGGACCGGGTCCCGAACGTCAGGTTCCGTGTGAAAAAGGTGGGAGGGTCTCCATTTTTGACCACCACAGCCATGATTATATGTATACAGGCAACCCCCCCCCATGGACCCATGGACCCTGGTTTTACTGCCTTTTGGGATGGTAAATCAAGAATCTCGCGATTTAAATTCTCGAAATTTCCAATTGTGTCCCCAAAACCTCAGGCATGACGTGACCATGCTCCCCGCTGAGCTTCTCTCGCCTTGGCCCGGTCTTGCGCCATCGCCTGCGCTTCTTGGCCCTCGTGGCAAGCCTTCGCTGCCGAAATCCCCTCGACAGCTTGGAGGTGTTGTGTCTCAGTCTTCCCAACATGATCCCATAATTTTTAACCCCAGTGTATTAATAGGGGGGTCCCTGGGTTTAGTGGGGATTCATCCCCATTTACCAAACTGGGGTTGATTCATATGGGGTCAACATGATCCAGGGGTCATGGTTTGGGGCAAGTAGCAAATATCTGAAACCTACAATCTGTCAGCACCTGCCCCAAGTTTCCCTTCCTGACTGGTCCATCAAGCTTAGGCCTTCAGACAGTGTCACTTCCTGCGCCTTCCTCATGCTTTCCCGAGTGATTTCCACTGACACCCCGAACTCGAACTGTTCCAGACTGCAGGCAGGAAGCCCAACCATCTGAACTTTTGGCCATCAACACATGCTTTCTCTTGCCTGGTTCTGGGCTTCAATCGAATGCATTTGGCAAGGCTTCAAGCGCGAGAGTGCGTCGCGTTTTGAAAACGCAAGCTCCTCCCCTCTGAAGCCCAGCCACACTTGTATTTTATACACGAGCCACAAACACTTCCCTGCCGGTCTTTACGAGACCTTGGATAAACCATTTCTTGGTTGCGGTTGCTGTTGACCCCCCTGCAAAAAGCTTAACTTTTTGGAGGTTTATTGGAAAACCCCTTGATTTTTCAAGAAGCTAATGTCTAAAGATCCAACCCAATAGCAGTCAAGATTTGCACTTGACCCAACCACTGAAAAAGGGAAGGCCGCGACATCTACAACATTACCTTTGCTGCTCCGTGGCGGTTGAAAGAAGCACAACCATGCTCTTCATGGCTTGTCTGAACCCATGACCCCTTTGCAAATCAAGTATCTGATGTCCAACAAAATTGACGGAACCCAAAAACCAAAGGTCAAAGCAATGACGAGTCTTGCTTAACGCTTCAGAAGACTCATCTGGACATAAAGCATGCTACTTCCACTTTCATTAAACATTCAGTAATGTCATATACTCTTCTGATAAAGCCAGTATTACTTTAGGAGAAACACATGTCGCACTTTGTCAAAAACAAATCAAACAATGTTTAACAAACCGGTTGAATGATGGCAAATTCTCACTCGCGCTTGTGGAAATTGTACCCCTCAGGGAAGTCAGATTTGGGAATCTCCGCTCGACTTGGGCACACGTTTGGATGAAGCCAAAGCGGGTGGCCCTTGAGCAAGCACACCGCCCCATCCCAAGAAATCGAGAGGGCGTGCCAGGCTTACCATAACGATTTTCCCGGCCTTCTGCAACAAGCTTGCTGCGCATGTCCTAGCTGAAAGTGCCCGAAAACGAAAACGGAAAGGCGTGTTGCAAACGACCATCTTGCATTCCGA